ATGATAGATAGAAAGATAATAGATAGTAACAGATAGATAGATAGATAAATAGACGTGTGCCTCTATCTAGCTATCTATCTGGGGCACACATCTAATCCTTGTGTAATTACCTTCGCCAAGAAGGTTATGTTTTCAGAGGCGTTCGTGTATGTGTGTGTGTGTCTGTAAACACGATAACTTGAGAAGGCCTTGATGGATTGTCTTGATACTTGGTAGGTGGGTAGGTCTTGATGAGACCTCAAAATGATTAGATTTTGGACCCCCTAGCGGCTTGTTATGGTACTGCAGCTGAACTTCCGGTTTTGATATCTCATGATCTAGACATGCTGGGGTGACGAAATTTGGATGGTAGGTAGCTCTTTTGCTGGGGAAGAAGTGACGTGAGTTTGGGCCCCCTAGTGGCTTGCTCTGGAACTGCAGGGATATATTCTTGAAAATATTCAAAAGGGGATAACTCAAGAACCAGTTAACGGATCGTCGTGATTTTTGGTATGTAGGTAGCTTACGCGGTGCTTAATATAATTATGTGACAATTATGCAAATATGGATGTAATTTGCATAATTTATGGGGAAATTCTATAAATCAGCTGCATTCCATGATAAGCTTGTGACATTGGTAATTGACGAGAGAAACACAGGCAGATATTGATTATGTTAATAATGACTTAATTTGCATAATTAATGAGAAAATTTTTATAATTATGTAATGATAACTGCCTGTAATTTCATATTTGTGGTATTTGAAAGTTAAGTTGAGGTGAACATCATTAAACATAATTTATTCAAATCAGGACCTCATTTGCATAATTTATTAGGAAATACTAGAATGCATTGCTTGTTATTATAAGACTGTCTTTTGGTTGAGATTATGATAAAATGATATGATTCATGAAAATTAGGTTCCCATTTGAATAATCTAGTGTATAATTTGTCAGTCATAAAGATTAACATCATTTGGCGAAGGTATGAGATCGGGGAACTCTAGTTAGTAGTAAAGTTGTATCAAACTTGCTTCGCAAGCCAATTCCAGGCCAGGAATTGGGTGAAATGAAAGTGCCATGATAATTAGTCACCCTGTAAATGGTGTTATATATTTATATTAGACAAAATAACTCTTTCTAACTTATGTCAACCTTCGCATTTCTTGCTAGATATTTTGCCCTTGAGAAAGGCATTTGATACAACACTCCACCCAGGAGTAAAATGCGTACCATAAAACGTTGGGGAGGTAAAAGGCAGTGGAAGAAGAGGGATGGGCTCCACGTTCCTATTCCATGCCCTAGACACAGTGGATTAACAACACACTGCCTCTACGGCCTCAAAAAGACTAAATCATGGGACCTTTACCTGTATCTGTATAGCCAGTATGACTAGACTGCCCTTCGGCATAACACACCAGCTTTGCAGGCATGCAGCGTGGCGGCAGCTAGCTACATTACACCAAACGACATATTGCACCTAACCTTTGAACATCTTTGTAACTCAGTTGTAGTGACTTCCACTTACTGTGTGTCCTACATGTATCACAGATGAACCCCCGTCAGTGGGACCATGTGTCTGAGCAGGCCTGTTGTACTTACTGAGTGTTTGTTTATGTTTGTTTATTTGTTTGTGTTTGTGTGTTTTATTACAGATGAACCCCCGTCAGTGGGACCATGTGTCTGAGCAGGCAAAGGACCTGGTGACCAGGATGCTGGAGCTGGACCAGAACGAGAGGATCACGGTGCACGAGACACTGCAGCATCCATGGATCAAGGTAGGGGGAGGTTATGCATGTGTCAGGCATGGACTGATGCTGCCTGTCATCCATTCTTCCATCCATTCACCCTTCCTTTCTTCCTTCTATCTATACATGCATGTACAATGTATTCAGCCATCCCTCCAAATTTCCCATCCATCTATCCATCCATCCATCCATCCATCCATCCATTTATCATTCATTTATTCATTCATTCTATCAAAGCAATGACTGTACCTTGTTTAAGTTGCTGTTTTTGTTTTGGATTTCTTTATTCACTATGTTAATTTCTTTCACTGATTTTTGCATGTCAGAAATTGCTTGAGTGACCGAACAGGAACAATTCTGGCAGTTACATGTAGCACAGCAGCAATGTACACTATCAGATATGGGTGATATTGACTCTGATCAATTTTATTCCCCCTATAGGACCGTGAGAGGTATGCCCCCAAGATCCACCTGCACGAGACTGTGGCTAGCATGACCAAGTTTAACGCCAGGAGAAAGCTCAAGGTAGGGGCAGTCGGGGTAACCCTTGTCTTACCACGCTGTAGGGTTCATCTTTTCTAACTTACACTTTGTTTCAGTTGCTTCTTTAGTTTAGGATCACATCTGGCACAGTTAGAAAGAATAAAGAAAGAAAGAATAAAGAAAGAAAGAAAAAAAGAAAGAAAAAAGAATAAAGAAAGAAAGAAAGAATAAAGAAAGAAAGAAAGAAAAAGAAAGAAAGAAAGAATAAAGAAAGAAAGAAGCCTTGACACTCGTCCAGTCAAATGACCTTGTGACCTTTAACCTGTTGGTCACATGACTACCCATTCATGAGCTGATGAATGATTGGCAGATACCATCTGAAAGCTACTCTAGCTGAACTGTATCGCTATGTGTAGGAGTTTAATCATTCATATATAGTATTTGAGAAGTTTAGAACATTTGAATTTCTCCAAAAGCATTCTTCATGGCTAGAACATCCAAAAGGACCTGACTCAGTTGTAAATTTTCAGCAGTACAAATCAAATCCTTTGTATCAAAACAGAATCTTTGTCCGTAAATCAAAGTATTAGCCATTGCAAGTCAAAATCAATACAGATCGATCATTCTTTCTTCTTCTGTGCCACTGTGCTACTCCAGTTTATCATTTACAGCCTAGATCTTTGATTGCTTTCCAATCGTATTCCAAGAGAGGTTTTATGCTCTTGCCTTGTGTTGATTGCTGTTTCTTTGGGAGCCCATGTAAACCAGTGTGCACCACATGCGTGCATGGCCTCTTATGACGTTTCAGCAGTATTAGGAGCTGTTTTGTTTCAGTGTAGAAGCTTGTTTTAACCATAACCCATGGTAGAATATTTTCAAACCAGGGTGTGAGTGTATCCTTGTTACAGTGATCGGATTTTGGTGAAAGCCAGCGTGCCAACATGAAATCTTCATTTTGTTCTTTGGTCTCATTATGCTCGGCTAATAAAGCTTTTTGGTGCTTTAGTGGTCTTGATGTGTATAGCAAAGATATAAAAAAGATGCCAGAACAAATTCTAATCATAATTCAGAGATACCAGACTTACAAAATGTACATATATCTCCCTAAATTGCATTTGTTTGAGCGGAAGGCAGTTGGAACACTGGGTTAAACAAATGCCAAACATTTTAAGTACTAGAAGTTGTAAAATGTCAGATGTATCATCTAGCAGTACTGGGATTTGTAACACACATTTAGATCTCGTTGGTCCAATCCACAACACACTGGCTAAAGTACATCCCTAGGCTGTAAAGTAAACGTTTGACATTTTTACAAAGTTCTTTTCAAATCCCACATTATCCAAAGGCAACAAAATGATCCACAAAAGTCTAGACTGGGAATTATCTACGCAGAGAGGTTAGATGAGAATTTTACTGTTACTTTGACTTGCCAGTTATACCCTGGTCACATACATTGTACGATACGTCTACACTGATTTTTTTCCCTTGACGATTGTGCTATACTTTGTAAGAAACAGATGCAACTGTTCAATCATTGATCCTGTTTCCTCTCAAATCATTGCGGAAAGAATCACTGTATATGCATCATACAACGTTTATGACTGAGACTTAACATTTGACACAAAACGTTAGAGACAAAACGTTGGACATCTTGGCTTTCACCAAATCCAACATGACTGTTACATGGGCGCCGCCACCCTGCGTTTGAAAATATTAGAAAATTAGACTGTTATTTTATGTTTCTGTTCTGTTTTGTTCATCCTTGATTTTTCTGTGCAATCCTCCATTGTCCTGCCTGTTTTCCATGACTTTCTGGCTCCCGTCTTTTGGTTGATTTTCACGCGTACAGAGACAGCAGGTATTTTTTCATCGGCACTTGTTTGTGAGCAAGGGGAGATAGACTGAGCTGATGTCTTTAAAATCGACAACAACAAGACCAACCCACATACCAACCCACGTACCAATTATATTGTAATCATACTTTTGTATCTGGTTGTCTTAACATGATAAATACATGTAGCACTAAAAACATGACACATTGGTGTCTGCAGAACATGGATAAAATTGACACTGGAATTGTTTTCTAACTCAACTAGTAAGAGGAGTAAATGGTACAGTAACTGTAATATAAATATATTGAAAGGTCCAAAGAAAAGGATGGGTCTTTGGCGCATGTGGTATACAAATCCTCTTTTGGCATTTGATGTTTAAGATTCTATTCATAGTCTAAATCTCAAAATCAATAATGGCCTCTGGCAGCCATTTTCAAGTTCATGATTGATTGTCATTCCCTGTCTTTTGATTTCTACCTTCTACTCTACCAGTGAACAGTTTTATAACTACTTTCTTCTATAAACAAAAGGATCAGATAAACAAACAAACAAACAAGCAGATCAATCATTGGAAGAATGGGAAAGTCAACATAAATTTCCATATATTAGAATCATGATTCTTCGCATAGATCATTTTTACACCAGTTTCCTAGACAGACAAAAGTGAAACAATCCGATGAACTGAAAAAAAATAGCGTTGTATTTTCCACCACCATTGCAAAATATTTATTTACAACAGAAAAGAATCAATGGACCCAAAACATATAACCATTCTGAATCATAATACATGTAATGCCATTTCTTTATGAAAAGAAATTGTTTTCTGTTATAATTATAGTGTTAAAGGCATTAGCTCAGTTTATGTCCCCTTGTGTTCTGTCTACTAATCTGTGCATGAAAACTGCATGGTACAAATATCTCTCATTATGGGCAGAAGTTGTTAGTTTCTGTATGTGTTAATTGCTTAGGTGCATGTACATGTATGTAGCCACGCTAATGTAGTATTACTTGGCTTTCATACAGTTGTATGTTGTGATGAACATATAAGGTTTTGAGTGAGTTCAAAACAGTAAGTACATGTGTATTAGACTGAGTAAGACTTAGTGGTAATTGTATTAAAACTACTTTATGACAGTGCCATTCATTTAACAATTAACATCAGATTGCTGAAAGCTGTATCTTTCCAAACAATCAATCAATCAAGCAAACATACAAACAAACAAACAAACAAATTTATTCTTATTCTGACTTTTTCAGATAGATATTTTATAATATCCTACATGTATACATACATGTGTATACAAATAAATGTGTACATAAAAATGGAATATAAAAATGGATATCTTATAATGTTTAAGTCTGACCCTTAATAATAATACTGCATATCCCAGTGGTATAAAGTTTACCACCAAGAATCATCTCCTGGCAAAGATAGAAGGTCAACGTTCTTAAATATCTTTAGACAATGCTGGTAAGCTGCAGCTACATGTAACGCCAGCTTTAATGACATACTCAAAGACTTACGCAGGATTAAGGAGCTTACACATGTATAAAGACTACCCACGGGAGTCATCTACCAGGCTCTTACATCTAAAGCAACGTAATTGGCAAAAATGGGGGTAAATGAGGCCTCCGCAAGGCAGCGATAACCAAAGGAATGCTGGTTTAGCCGTTTAAGGGCTGATGGTGTTATCCTGTGAGAGTTAGGAGTTGTATGATGTTATTGTGGAGTCAGCAGGGTCTGTCGACTCTTCCCTTGTATGTTATCTATGTAGAACAGATGGAAGTTACACAAATTATCTGTATATATTAATCTGGCATTAGCATTAGCAAAACGGTTGTTTGTCTTATGAGGTTAGACAGAGTTGAAGATTATTCACCGGCTTCATCTCTTTTCTGATCTGAAAAAAAAGTATTATGCACCGTTCAGGTCCTGAATCAACCCCAGAATTTTTTGGCACCAGAAGCAGTATTAGAAATTGATATTGAAGCTTCAGTCTCAGATATCTGTCATAACCAAGTCCAAATTATATTTCTTTCACAATTTTATATATCAAATTTTTGTAAACTAACCACGCCAAAGGTGCCAGCCTGAAGTTGTGATCATTTTTTTTACTGTTTATTTGTTTGTTTTCACCCTCCCTTCTATAATCCTTTCCTAAATATACCATTATCCGCTCTCCTGGGCAGGAGGGTTGGGTTACTTATCAGATCCAGCTGCAGGTTTCAGCACACTTACGGTAAAATCATTAACGTTTACAACACTTAATTTCAAGTTACTCTAAAAATTGAGAGTCTAATTCGATTATCTTCTATTTCAAGTTCGTGGCTGAAACAGTAGTAGGAGCATGATGGAAAATAGAAGTTAAGTTTGTTGTAAGAGGTTCCTGTTAAAATATAGAGGACTGCATATATTTGGAATTGTACAGTAGCAGACTTGGGAAGTGGCATTTGGCTGCAGCTGGTGATAACAAGACAGCTCTGGGTTTGCCTCACACTCAGTTTGGAACCTACCATTCTGAACCACGGGGATGGAGGAGGAAAAATGGTCCCTAGTCAAGTGCATCGTTAGAATCTGGGTTCAACCTAAATTGGCCGACCCCAATTACCCAATTCACATATTTTCCCAAAATGTATGGCACATGTCTGATTAACTTAAATTCTGAGAATCCAATTTTGGATACAATGTACAATGTAGATCCTACAAGACCACATTCATGTGACATTGACTTGAAAATCAGTTCCCAAAAACCTGAATCAAACAAAGCAATGACCTCCTTGAACAAACTTCTCCAGTCCCAAGCTAAACACGGTCTAACTCTGTGCAGTACTTAAGAAGTAATTTTCACATGTGTAATCTGTGCCATTCCAAAATGTTCAACCATAGATTGCAGAATAACGAAATAAAGATAACGTTACATCCAAGAATGCAATTCATTCTTAAAGGTTCCAGCTTGAATTTCATATCAGCCCAAAGTATGTAAAAAAGATCCTCAACAGCTCTCTTCCAAAGATTCTAACAAGAACTCCCCTGCAGTTCCAGAGCAAGAAGCTAGGGGGCCCAAACTTGTGTTACCTCTTCCCGAAGCACAAGAACTAACTACCACGTAAGAATAGAAACCATAACATGCCCAGAACACAAGATATCTAAAACTAGGAGCTCTACACAAATATAAACAGTCTTGTTATTAGATTATTTCAAGAGTTAGAAACCTCGCCCTCCCCCCTGTTGGTCTACAGCAGGTGGAGGAACCCTAATGAAGACTTCCTGCCCAGGAGCAGGGTCTGATCCCCCTGATATCGTAACCTTAGACCCTAAATAACAAGATGGTGGCTGCAGGCATGGGTTGGACTAGTCATAAGTTCTCTCACAGAGAAGTCAAACAAACCACGTCGTCCTGAGTGAGAGCTGGGAACTAAATCGTAAGTTCGGTTTAGCAATCAGATGTGAGAAAACGTTGTGTGGGATTCTGTAGGAATGTAGAGGGCTGAGTGACAGGAGGTCAGGGTTTGGACGGCTGAACCGCCTGACTGTAAACAAGACCAGTGAGAGGGACTAACTCAAGTCAGCTTCCCTGTGGTGGCTTTAAAACGTCTTCTTCACTACTGCTGTTGCCAGCTCAGGTCTATTTGCATGAGGTCTGGAGATCTAGTATTTCTTCAAGGGTTATACTGCATATGTTGTTCTACCAAGCATAGAGAGGGTCTAACTCAAGTCAGCTTCCTTGTGGCGGCTTCTAAAATGTCTTCACTACTACTGGTATAGCTTAAAGGTCTACTATATTTGCATGAAGAGATCCAGTATTTCTTCAAAGGTTATACTGCACATGTTTTCCTTCTACCAAGCAGGGCGCAGTAATGTCAGCCGTAGCCAGTCACAAGTGGACATCCTTCTATAGTGATCCCAATGTCGCCGACTACTTCGAAGAGGATCCAACGTCTTCAGGTAAGTCTATTGTGATTGTGATTAAGTCTTAAAGTAAACAATTCACAGCAAGATGCAGTTTGTTAGTTGTAGGTTGGGAGTTTTAAGTATCTATGTTGGCAGTGTTTGGGTTCTTGTCACTCTCACAGATGTTAGAATGAGATAAAAATCTGTTTACTTAGCCACTAATGGGGACAAGATGAACCTGAAAAAAAAGCTGGAGAAGTAGAAAAATAAACCCAGATCCACTACACTAGAAATGGTACCATTATATCAAGTGTACAAATGATACTAATAATAATAACTAATGTTTATATCCTGTAACAAAATTGGCCCATAGCAAAACTACTGGACATTGAAATTTAATTTGGTCTTTAATTTTATATTAAGAATTTTTTCTACCCCATCTTTTATTGAGGGGGGCAGTCAAATTTTCATTGTCTTGTGCCACTTTTCTTGCTGTGTTCTTTTCTTCACATGTTCTTTTCTTAACAAGTTTGTGAACAGGACTGTTATTAACTGTTTATCTTCTGAAAATCAAGTTTCTGTGTTTGTTAACTGTCCTTTTCCCTGTCCTCCCCTTTTACAAATGTGGTACTGTCCACAGCTAGCCATACCATGTTCTTTGTTGCTTCTAGATTTCAAACAGTCAGTTTTTAATTGGATCTTCAGGCTAACCCCAGTGTTATACCAAACCCCAGGATTTATACATGCCCCTAATGGGGACAACCTCCTTCCTCAGGTTCTGATCTCATGCCCTTATATGGAATCATCAGGTAGCATTTTATAACCTTTGACCCTAAAGGTCGGTAAATCATTATTTTGTGATGGTTTCATGAAGATTTTATAAAGTTTGGAACTGCGAGTATTTATATCTGTCGTCAGACAAATTTGGCTCAAGTTATCCCTGACATTGCAGTGGTCTCCCCAGAAATTCTTAGGGGAGACGACGTGCTCCCTAATCAGTTGATGAAAAATCAGCAAATTTTCATGAAAATACTAAGAGAAAACCCTAAATTTGAACATTTTGGGAGGGGTGCTAGGATTTTAGGGAGAGGGTGAGCACCCTAGCTTCATGGAGATAGCCCTGCATTGCAGTTTTTCTGTAAAACGTATTATTTTTGCACTGGGGACATTTTGATTGTCGCTATCTAAAGAATCCGAGGCTACCGTACAGGCATGCCAGATACAGAGGCCATGTGGGACTGATTTCTTCTCAGGAAGCCTTGGCCTGGATGCTGTCAAAACAAACCAAAACCTTTCAGCAGAATTACTGGACACAATGTCTGTCAGTCAGAAAGGAAGAGTTCCTATAATGTTGGTCGATATTTTGAAATATTTGGAGAACTTCTGTGATATTTCTGAAATGTTGGACAGAATTCCAGGCATATGAGTGACATCTTTGTTTAGTTGATGTGTGTCATGTTCAATTACATATCAAAGCAGATAAATCCTGTCCAGATGCTGGATTCAAATTGGGGAGAAAAGGAAGGATCAACATATCTGCATGGTGCTTGTTGTTATTCTTGAGTGGTGGTTTCTTGGTTCTCTGCGTAGTGCTGTATTCACAAACATACATGAATCTTGTGTATTATACATGTACCTTTGTATGTGTTTGTATATAATTTCTAATGGCATGTTTTGTATTGTTGTTTTGTACTTTGTTTCACCATTAACTGGAGGCAAAAATGTTGTGATTCACAGTAAATTGGCAGCTGTCTCTAGGATCAGTATGGGAAATATTTCTGTTGAACTTGTCAGGAAGGACTTAGTCATGTTCAAGAATAAGTCACCAGGGCCATGTGATACACTGTATGACAAGGACTGGTCCATTGAAGTGAGAGGGGGGGGGGAGGAAAGATATTTTTAGAATTCCAGAATGCCAGCTTCTTTCCTGCTTGTGCATCAAAGCAATAAAAGTTAAAGAATGGCATTCTTTGTGCAATTTGCTGCCTATTTGTCATCATTTAGATTTCCACATTATGTTACTTATCTTCATGTTTCTCTTATCTAATGCTACACACACGCACAATTAGTAAACTATCCATCTTTCTCACTTTTATCTTAAATGTTGTTCGTGTTGCTGTAAAAATTTGCGAGCACATTTTGAGTTTCAGCAGGTTTTATGACATCTAAGCCAGTCCAAAACAAAGTAAAATGGAGAAATGTATCAATGTAGGTGCATGAAATACAGAATCACCTGAAGATATAATGAAAATTGATGATGTTTAGATGCACCTCTAAATTTCGGCCATAAAACATCCGGAGTCCCTCAATGCTTTTATACTTCAGTAAACGTCAAAGATAAATCTTAATTTGTAAGATAAGAGTGTAAGATGGGATTTTTATAGCACCTATAGCCTGGATGACAGACTGTTGCCAGGGCCAGTACACAGTACACAGGCTAGCTCCTTTGGCTAGTGTGTTCGTTGCCAGGTTTTCTTCATTCCTGTCATTCCGACAGCCTTTTCTAATTTTGCTCTCTCTAACCTGGAGCCTTCACACATTTCAGAGATCGTTATCCTTCCAACCTCAGTTCAAATTTCCTACAGTTCCCTTTAGGACAAGCTTTTCTAAATCTCTCTCACATGTACCTTTCAAAGTACGAATGTACTAGTACTACATTTAACAAGCACAGTAGTACATGTGTATTACCATATATATGTAACGTGTGTGTAGGGCTAATATGCTAGCCCAGGTTTGTGCAACTACACATGTACTAATGTGTTCTTCAGTCTACACATCTTATAACCTGTGAATCAGCCCTCAGCCTACAGTGTAACAGGGTCTGTTTGTAGGATATGTAACTGCTGTATACATTCTGTATGTGCTCTGCTGTAGCCTGGTCACCAGGCCTAAGTGAAGAGACCTCTCTGATCTTATGGTGTGTATGTGCTCTGTGGTACATGTAGCCTGGATATCAGGCCTTCCTGTGTACACTGCCTACAACACAACAGTACTAAGGCTAAGTCTGTTTGTAGGCTGTGTTGTGCTAATGCTGTGTTCTCTACAATAGCCTGGATATCAGGCCTCAGTGAAGAAACATCTTGTGTACACTGCCTACAATATAACAGTACTAAGAGTCTGTTTGTAGGCTATGTAACTGTTGTTCTAATGGTGTACAAAATGTATGTGCTCCGCTGTAGCCTGGTAATCAGGCCTCATTGAAGTGACTTCTTGTGTACACTACTAAGAGTCTGTTTGCAGGCTATGTACAATGTAACTGTTGTTCTAACGGTGTGTCTCTGCCATAGCCTGCTAATCAGGCTCAGTGAATATACTTCTCTTGTACACTGTGCCTACAATATAACAGTACTAAGAGTCTGTAGGCTACATGTATGTTGTTCTAACGGTGTGTGCTCTGTTGTTCCCTCTCCTCCTGTTGGTGTGCCCCCCCTCCTCTCGCCTCGCCGGTGGGCCCCCCTCTCCCTGTGGCTCCACCCACTGACGCCGCAGTCTGCTCAAGTACGTATCCCAGCATTCCTCCACAGGCATCACTGTAGATCTATGGCACTTCCTGCTTTCACAATCTCCAAGCAGATGTGGGGAGGGGTGCTGTGGGTCAGAAAACAGAACCTCCACATCATTACTCTCCAAGAGGTTTGGGTTTTGGGGTTCTTTTTGGCGTGTTTTTAGGCTTTTTTTATCAGGGTTACTTTTTTTTTTGCACTGGGTTGGGTGAAAAAAGTTTCAGTGCAAAAAAGTAACCCCGATAAAAAAGCCTAAAAACATGCCAAAAATAACCCCAAACCTCTGCTTGGAGAGTATCATATCATGGCCTCAATGAAAAGCTCCAGTAGGCCAATTTGAATATCTGACAACAAGACAAAGCAAGCAAACAGACATCTGCTTTGAGATTCCTAAAATCTGTGAAACAGGGCTTACGTTTCTCGAAAGTGACCAGTTTTGTTCTCTCAGACTCTGCATGTACTTGTCTTCTGTTACCAATTCTGTCTTGTTCTTCTTTCTGCTTTCCTTTTACTAATCCCATTTGAACAAAGAATGTCTAAGGTTCTTTCAGCAATCTTTTTCTTCCTTCATACATTTGTATATACTATTTTATAATAATGATACTATTGTATAATAATATAATCTGTTTCAATACTGTTGTATGTTTATGATTTGCAATTAGCCTACGGGCACGAATTTGCAATAAAACTTTATTATATCACTTATAATGATCCCATTCCAAATATATACCCGGTTTGTCACTCAGGGTAGAGACTCCGATTTGGTGGAGATCTTTGTAGGATTTTACCAGATTGGAGTCACTACCCTGACATACACATGTACATGTTTTGTAATCAGATGTATATACCACAGTACACTCATGTACATTTTAATGTACCTATCCTGAACATGTTCTTATGAATATCCCCGGAGACAAAACTACACTTGAAGGCTTGACAGTTTTTGATTTATATGTATGAGGATTTGGGCATTACCACAAGACAGGGAAATGTCTGAGTATATGCTTGTCTCTAAAGCCCTATACTGATGGTCTTTGACAGCTGTAGCAATACAAGACGTACATACAATGTACATGATATACATGTAGCTTGCCCAGTCATGCAGTATATTGTATATTGCTCAACAAAAATCACCATCATTTGTTTTACAAGTCAGTGACAAATCTGTAGCCATCGAATTGCTGTGGTTCAAAATACATGTATGTACCACAGCAGATCATTAACTGTCATTCAAAAAGAGAGAAGCACGCAGTGACTGTAAATTGTGAAATTTTTTTCTGTGTTTTTTTTCCGCAATAGGAGTTTTCAATAATGTAGGCTGAAACAATTTTGTAGTACAGCAGACAGACACTAAGTGTCATCAATTAACAGTAGAGAGGGCCCTGCAATTTAAAATACCGGTAAAACTACTGTGAAAATTTCACGATTTACAGTACGTATTCACCCAATCTGCTCCAAACCTGTCAATCTGGCCACACCCAGTTAATATTACTTTTTCTGCCCCTGTCACCGCCTTCATGTATGAGTTACATGTATCTATTGTAGAAATCTAATCGTTCTCCAGGATTGGAGATTAATGTTTCATACAAATTACCAAGGCCATTTGCAGCAAGCATATCATTCAGTAATCTGGAAAGTAACTGCACAAATTAAATGTCATTAAATGGGCCTTGACAAATACAAAGTCACTGAACATTTTCTGAATTGTTAGTAGGGTAATGTAATCAGATCATCTTGTACATCTATGATCTTGCACTATTCAACCATAAGGTTGTATCTCTGACAATAATACAAAGTATGTACCTTAATTTTATCATTAGTCTAAATGTTGGATGTAATCTGTGATGTTTTAAAATATGCGAACAATTCTTGTATTATATTGAGAAGAAGATAAGTGTTGACAGGGTGACTGACAATTTACATGTAGTGTGATTCCAAACTTTATTCCAACACAAATCCTGATGAAGGCGACAGTGGTCATTGAAAATTTTATGATCTTCAACATGGATGGACTTCCGTGATGATTGACATGTTGTTGCCATGGTAACAGGTGCGGTTGCCCAGGTGCTGGACAGCCTGGAGGAGATCCACGCGCTCACGGACGGGAACGAGAAGGACATGGAGTTCCTGCACAGCGTCTTCCAGGACACCAACCTGCACGCGCTGCTCGAGGTAAGGAAACTTCCCATTACTTTTATAATAGAATACTGGGATTTTCTTTATACACATTCACGATACGATACACATGTGGGGTCGTGTGGTGCAACGGCAGCGTGCGCGACTCGGAATCAAGAGGTCCCGGGTTCGAGTCCTGACATGCCACCGATGTTGTGCCCTCGGGAAAGGCACTTTACACGACTTTCCCCACTCAAGTGAAAATGAGTATTGTCTGTCCAGTATTTGTTTCTATGTGCGGGACACAACACCAGCAACAGCTGCCTCTGTTCTGCGTGTATTGCACTGTTGCAATTTCAATAAATCAAATCAAAATCAAATCAAATCAACCATTAAACAACTTGAAGAGGGATGTTGGGCTCATAAACATCACCACAGCAGAACTCTGCTCACTGATGGAGGACAGGGATGAGGGGAGAAAAAGAACCCATTGTCTGCTGTGCTGACATCCTCTGATGTTCTCATTCAAGGTTGAAGGTTCAACAGCCATTGCCTCAGTGTGCCCTCGCCAAATGTTGGACCTATGTCGTTGTTCAATATCAGTGGCATCCAATGGTTGAGTGGCTAAGGCGAATATACATGATATCGAGATACCTTGCTAAATGCTGTGTCCTTAGGAATTCAAAAGACAGTTTACATGACTTTCTAAATCTTACCCTCTCAGCCAGGTGTAAATGGGCACCTGACTTCTGTTTGAGAGGTAAAAGGTAAAACAGTACAAGACTGTTGCTTCCCCACTGCATATCATGGTGTTAGGTGTTATATAGCTGAGATCATGACTTATACTGCATACTGCAAGGTGGTCTCATTAATAAGACCTATTAAGCTGAAACTGAGCCCCTTATCATTGGATGTAATGGCCTATATGTGGTTATGATATGCCTGGCTGACTGACTCCAAGTTTTGTCATGCTGCAGCAGTGCCATCTATCTGATTGCAAAGGTATTGCAGACCTGCTACAATGCCATCATTCTTGGTGCATGGACTGGTATCTCGTTTTAGAGTGTTTGCTTGTATGTGTACCTAAACATCAGCACTTTTTCTTCAAAGAAAACTTGGATAGCAAAATTTTTTCTCGTATCATTTAATTCCAATAATTCAAAAATTTTCCTGCCAGGATATCAAGTTACCCATCCCGTGTTTACCAGTTGTTTGGTGGTTTGTTTACTGGAAAGGTTTGGTGAGTTTTACCAATTTGCAGGCACATACTAAGGCCACACCAATTTGATTTGTTGGTTAACGGATTTTTCCAGAAAAACAATGTAGCGGGCGGGCGAAAAAAATAAAAAAATAAAAACAGGCCTAGGCATCCTATTATGGTCCAAAATGGTACGATAGGAGCCTTGAAGTCAACATACCAGGCTGGGTTAATATTTAAACAATGCATTTTGAACTTTTAATCAAACCACTACATTGATAGATGGATTAAAACTGTAATAACTAGGAGAAAAGGACTTTCCTCAACTGTTGGAGGCAAAATATGAGCATATTTGAATTGATTCAGAACCAGAATCTTTTTTTTTTTTTTTTTTTTTGCAAATCAGGAAAAAATGAAGAGGCGAATCCGAGAACCAACAAATTAAATTGGTGTGGCCTTAAGGAAACCTTATCTGCAGGTGTAAGGTCTGGTGATTGCTGTGCAAAGATGTCCTCAGTAAGGGGTCACTTGAGGGAGCCAGGTATCTGTGAATTGTTTACAGGACCGGGGACCTGTCTACTGAAGTTTGGGCACTGGTGCCATGGAATACTTATAGATAATGTAATTTGTGACTGTACAAAGATTAAGGGGAGGGGGGTTCTTTATAATCAGTTGGAGAAGTGAGTTTATGACGATTGTGTTACAAGCCGAACCAATAATGGCAACACACAAGGTAGAAGTCACAACTTTTTTTTGCTTTGTTACAAACTATAAATCTTGAAACTTTCTCTTACCACAAAGTCATTACACAGGAAATGTTTTTTTTTAGTTTACTGTACTAACTATGGCCTCCTTCGGTCAGTTTTGACCATAGTAAAATCCTAATTGTTTTGCTTTACTTCTACATGACTTGTGTTGTGTATTGTTAAAAGTTAGAACTTCATATACTGTGAAAACCTCATTCCTCTTCTGTGAAATAAAATCGTGGCAAAAGTAAATGAATTTTAGGTAGCCCTTCCCTAGTTTTTTCAGACAACGTCGTGCAATTCTGCCCTCCATTGTTCTTGGAAAATTGTGACAGAAAATACCGTTGTAGAGTGAGCGTTAACCCTCCCCACTTACATGTATGCCCCACTGAGCATTTTATATGTTTTTGGTGACCTTACATGTTGTGCATGTTTTTAGTGACCTTACCGCATATACCTACTCAAGGCTACCCCCACTGGGCCCTTGCGGTCTGAGCTTTCTCTACTTAAGTGTCTGTATTGGTTTTGACAGTCAGAATGTTTTAATAGTGTACTTGAAAGGGTGCGATATATTATTACATTTGTGTGTACAACAGAACTGTTGTAAAAATAAATCTAACATACTTACTGCCTCTCAGACTTTTTACTGTAACCAGAAATGTAAGTAAAGAAAATGTCTGGAGGCAGCTAGGAATGTCGGTTGATTGAAAGATGCAACAGTTTCTGTTAGCAGTTGGCAAGTGTATTTTCTGTGTTGGAACATGGCTGGACACAGATACTGTAAATTGGGAAACTTTCGCAGTGATTTTATTCTCCAGATTTTCTCGGTGACCTCTCCAGTGCAAATTCAGGATATTGTAAATACATACTGTCTTCCTTGTTCTGTACTACTGAATCCCTTTCCCTAAAAAAATAAAATAAAACCTCTGCAAAAATTTCAAAATTTACAGTATTGGTTGCTAGAAATATTGTACTAAAGTTAGATGTCAGTTTGCAGCTGGGGGCAGTCTTGCTAACTGATTCGTTTATGAATTTTTGATAAGAACTGCGGTATGTGACCCTGATGTCAAACTGCGGTATGCGGCCTTGCACCTGCTTGAAATACATGTCAGATACATTTGCAACATAATACATATTGCTACCATACTCCTCTACAATACAATGCTACAATACTGTAGTTGCCAATTTCAATATGACAACCGGAAGATATCATTCTATTTTTATGGGGGAGGGGGACTGTAGGTATACAGTCTCTGTCTGCCTGTAATACTCAAATAAGAGTCATAATAGTAAGTTACAAATGAGTCTATTACTATTTATAGATCATAGTTCCTAGTTATGAATGGAGAAATAAATTTTGTATGGAGTAATGCCTGTGTCAGTTTGGAAATATGTGAGAAAAACGTGACCTTCTTCACATCTATTTCTATAAAAATAGACAATTCAATCGCAGTGTAAAATCTCCATTTTAGGCCGGAATGCTCTTTAGATTCTTGGCCATGATTTGGTGAGATTCCTCCGAGGCCAATTTCTTCCGACTGCCGGCCAAGTGCAGTTTCAAAAGCATTCCTTTCCACCGGAGGCGATTGTGGATCAATTACTCAAATTCTGCCGTGAATCTCCTGGGCCTCATCCCACATGAAATGTGCCACCTGCATGAATGTTATATAGTCAAAGCAGGGCTGGAAATACATTTTTCTGCAAATCCCTGTGCTTGTACAGGTAATGTTGAAAATTACCTGCACCACACAAACTTTACCTACGCCATTCAGACAAACAGAAGTGTGTATACATACTAAAAACTGTCCAAAAACTATTTTATTGATGGTAACAGTCAATGCAGCAAATAAAAATCCACATTCACATCAATGTATATATACACCTAGTAAATGGACCAGTACAGGTTAGGTGCAGGTAGACGTCAAAAGCACCTGCAAAGCTCCAATTCTACCTGCACTAAGGTGCATACGCACCCAGTATTTCAAGCCCTGTATCTAATTTAGAAAGAACCATATCCATTTTCATTTTCATAGGAAGTTTAGTGGTGTCACAAGGTCAATTTCAGTCTAGCGTGTTGAAGAAGTACATTATGGTCTACATTTTCCTAAATTGAATTTGATGGCTCTAATATGAGGCGGAGAAAGATGGCAGTTCCACAACAGGAGGTTCATTCGTTCTCCCAGATTGTTTTGAGATGGTCACAATACCGTGACTGCACTGATTTCACACATTAAGTGTACATGTCACACTCACACATTAGTAATTTAGACTGTGCAATTTTAACTGCGTTAGTGTTCAGAGAGTGTAAGGGGATTTTATATCTTGATTTTGAAATCTGGACTGTTTCAGATCGAAGTGAAGAAAAGTGTCACTGAATTGTTCCTTTTCGTTAACCCGATTGCTGCGTAAGCTCCTTATTAATATCCTTTCTATTGTCTTGATTGAAGCTTCCTCTTAAGTCCTTCAAACCTCACCTAACTCAGGTTTCTATTGTTCTACCTGTGTGTGTTCCTGTCTGGCCTTGTGTGGTCTGCCTGAGGTATTGTTTACCTGTTTGTACACAGACAGGTAGACACTGTGTTTACCAGGTATGGGTTAATAAGGGAAGCTGTGTCTCAGACAGGTGTGTAACAAACAGGAAAAACTGTCTGAATTTCTGATTAGGGATAAGAATCCACCTTTTCCTGTTCTTTCTTATATTTCATGGTCGTCCTTCTGTGTGAAAAATCTTAAATTACAGAACCTTAAGTGTTTTGTGTGTAGGAATGACAGTGTTTAACTACACAGGTAATTATACAGAGTGAAATTGCTTACATTTTGCATGTCCTTAGGGTACATACGGCCAAGAATAAACTCATCTTCCTGTTGTTTTTCATACATGTATATATCATAGCCTTATCTTTTAGATTTATTGCAAAAAAACCTGCAGATTAAAAACCTTGTGATTTTTGCCATCTTGGAACCATACTATTGTAGACAGTACAGAGAGAAATTATGATGGGTTTTTCCTTGTCCTTATAAGTACATGTAGATAGGGGCTTATCTGGTCCGTCACATCTTACCCTGGAGTGCTCTGACACTACAGGTGCATCCTTGCATGGCACACACACACA